CTTTTGGTTCAAAAAAAGAAAAACATAGCTTTCTTTCCACATTTCCTTTAACCTGTGTTTCTTCATGACTAAAGGTCATTGGGTGTTGATATTTGGTAAAAAGGTTGTTCATGTAAATGAGTTTAATTGTTGTTAATTTTGATGACCTTGACCTTTGTTCAAGGTCACAACAAGAGGACCAGAGGGCCTGTATCGCTCACCTGAATACGTTTAAAATAATTGGTACAAAGAAGGTGCTGTAAAAACATATGAAATTTCAGAAAGATCCAACCAGTACTTGAGATATAGCGAGAACAAACTTCAAACAGAGCCCCACCCCTATGCAACCTAGGGGGGGTCATACCCACCAATTATACAAAATTGAGTCCCCTTGGTCCATTGATGCTACAGACTAAATAAGTATAAAATCCCATAATCCCGATGGTCGAAGTAGGGTTTCAAAGGTTTTACCTCTATTTCTCCAATTGAGCCCCGCCCTTCTGCCCCCTGGGAGACCACACCCACTGCTTATACAAAATTGTTTCCCCTTCACCCGAGGCTGCTTCATACCAAATTTGGACAAAATCCTGTCATTCCTACAGAAGAAGAAGGATTTTTAAGAATTTGCTATGTTTCCCCTTCTGCCCACAGGGGGGCCACACTCGCTGTTTATACGAAATTGAGTCCCTTTTGCCTAAGGATGTTCCAGACTAAATTAGGAAAATATCCCTTAAACCCTATGGTAGAAGTGGGATTATAAAGATTTTACATATATTTCCCCTATTGGGCCCCGCCCTTCAGGTCCCAGAGGGGCCACAACCACCGTTTATACAAAATTGGTTCCCCTTTACCAAGGATGCTCCACACCAAATATGGACCAATTCCTAAGAAGGATTTTAAAGAATAATCTGCTATGTTTCCCCTATTGGGACCCGCCTCTCAGGCCCCTGGGGGGGGGGCCAGACCCACGGTTTATACAAAATTGGTTCCCCTTTACCTAAGGATGCTTCAGACCAAATATGGACAATATCCCCTTATTCCTACAGAAGGAGAAGGATTTCGAAAAATTTGCTATGTTTTCCCTATTGGGCCCCACCCCTCAGCCCCCAGGGGGGCCAGGCCCACTGTTTATACAAAATTGGTTCCCCTTTACCAAAGGATGCTCCACACCAAATATGGACCAAATCCTTTCATTCCTACAGAAGAAGAAGGATTTTAAAGAATAATTTGCTATGTTTCCCCTATTTGGCCCGGCCTCTCAGGCCCCTGGGACCCACACCCACGGTTTATACAAAATTGGTTCCCCTTCACCCAAGGATGCCTCAGACCAAATATGGCACAAATCCTTTCATTCCTACAGAAGAAGAAGGATGTTAAAGAATTTGCTATATTTACCCTATTGCGCCCCGCCCCTCACATAACATTGTAACTATATAAAGGCAAGTTGACAATGTTAGTTTTATTTTAAATTTTGTGAAAATTTTGCATGTTTTTCCAATTAAAAGTATCACTACGCTTACTTCATGTCTACCAATATGACATATTTAGTATCACAATAACAGTAATTTTATTCACTATACACTTTCATAATTCATTTCCAAATTAACATTCGCCTGTGACATTTATCGGTCATTTTGTTAGGATACCCCCGTCACTCAACCTGGTGTTATGCAAGGAGGTCTACTACAGTTATCAGTAACAATTATGAATAATCATTTATGCAGTTATTTATCATTTTTATGTATCTACATATGGCAAAAGAATAAAGGAAATCAAAGTGGGGGCCAAATGTTGACCCCACCTTTATTCAAAATCTCCAAAACATTTTTATCGATGATGATAACTTAATTCTTTCAAGTGTAAGAGACAAAGTTATTGCTTTTCAAATCATAATGGTTGACATGCATTTTGTCCAATGTGCGGAGGCATTCTTCTGTTACTAGTTCATGTACACATCAAATTACTGCAGTATCTAGATCCCTCCAAACTGAAGTGACATGTATGACATTATGAGAACATTCGGCTAATTTATACTACAAACGAAATACAAGAGGGAGCCAGACATCAAAGCTACCAATAAAGTCAATATGGATGACTCACGAGGGACTTTTAAAAGTACACCAAATCGAACAGGTGGGGTGTTTTATGTAACCACCAAAGTCAGTGACCTACTAAACATCACCAGATTGACCACTATTTAGACACCACAGACAATGATATTGCTGCTTTCAATGCTGGAGGATGCTGGATTTGATGCCGGGCGGGAATAAGAACAGCACCTTACTGGTCTCTGCCAACAAATAAAGAATCCCATGTTTTCCACCACACAACCTTTGGTGATCTAAATAGGCTGATTATACTTCATGAAGTCCATTTAAATGACCCAGTGCATCAATTCTACACAGATTTCACCACAGTGTAATTTGTGACTAAATATCATAATGGCCTAGGTTAAGAGTATAAAACACTCGAGGGTATCACATGAAATTCAGGTTGTCGTGAGAAATTAACCAAATCTAGCTAGTGACAAATAAATAATGGAAGAAAATGAAAGGCCAGAACAGACATAACTAGAACACTGACAGGTCAGTAAGGGCCCCGTCTTGTGGCAATATATCCCCCATAATCATCAAGAAGCAATCTGCCCATATAGCTGAACTTGACGTTTGACATTTGGACTTCAAAAAGAATCGCAAGGAAGCAAAATATACATTTTACATGTACTATGATGTGAGTCTTGTTTCCTTCCACCTCCATATTGCTGGGCTAACAGAAATGTAAATACTCCATCAAGAGCCAGGGTCAAAGTCAGAGATCCACTGGACCCAAATGACCTTAACCATTACCCAGTGACCCTGATCTTTGGTCAGTTGACTTATTATTTAATTCCGACCAACTTTGCTTCTTAATATCATAACAAAATGTTCATCAGTGAAAAATACAAAACTTGACCTTGACCCTTTGGACCCTGTAACCTGTACCTAAGGTCTGTTGACTCTGTGTTAAGTTCTGAACAACATTGCTTCATAATGTCATAAAAAAAAATGTTCATCAGGAAAAAGGTACAAAATTTAACCTTCACCTTTGACCAAGTGACCTTGACCTTTGGTCAATTGACTCCTTGTTTAATTCTGAGCAACATTGCTTCAAAGTGTCATAGCGAAATGTTCACCAGTGAAAAGATACAAAATTTAACCTTGACCTTTGACCCAATGACCTTGACCTTTGGTCAGTTGACTCCTTGTTTAATTCTGATCAACTTTGCTTCATCATGTCATAACAAAATGTTCATCAGTGAAAAGATGTAAAAATTAACCTTGACCTTTGAATGAAATGACCTTGACCTTTGACCTTGACTTTTTACCTCAATGTGTATTTTTGTGAACTGAACATCTTGACCAAGTTTCATGTACATCGGTCAATAAATATCAAAGTTATTAGCCGGGAACAAAATTTGTGGACAGACAGACAGACAGACAGAGTGATTACTATAGGGCACCCGTATCTCCGATACGGGGCCCTAATTAAAATGGTTTTTACTACAGCCTTCACCATCCGGCAGTAAGTGCCAGGCTGCTTTCATGGCTAAAAGGAGATGGATACTACCAATATATGGCAGGGATATTTTAAAAGCTAACCTGGGAAGTTAAGTAAGTTTACACCTAATGGAGGGTGTGATAATATAGCAGTCACAGCCACAGATTTCTTTGATATTCCATTAGAAACTCATTAATTGCAATTTCAGGTAGGGAACCAGAGGCTGAAGGACGGAGACAAGGAGAGAATGAAGGACGGAGACGAGGAGAGGCTGAGGAACGGTAATTATGGTCCATGTTACTGGAACACCAGTCTGTGATCAGCAAAAACAGAAAAGGGAACTTTAAAAGTAAAATGACCAGTAGAAACAGGAAAGGAAACTGGTTACAGATGTTTAGACAATAATCAGCCACTTATATCAGAATTAATTAAGGAAATCATTTTCAATCTCAAGTAATTATAACCAATAACAGAATATGTATGGCTTGTGTATATCAAGTACAAGTCACATAGAATTTATTTGTGTAGAATTTAACCAGAAACTCAACACCATGCATCAATAAATCATAAAAACAGAGATGCCAGGATGATGAAATGCATGTTAGTTACCAGTGCTAAACCTATAATTTGCAGTACCCTGCTACGAAGAGTTTAGTAACTTGGCACTGCTACAGAAAGTTTTGTTACTTAAGGGGCCTTCTGTTAGTTTTTCTACACAGACTCTTCTGCTGAGTTTTGTAACTCAAGCCCTGTTGTTAAAGAGTGTTATCATTCTGGCTATGTTGCTTTGGGTTTTGTTAGTAAGGCCCTGCTTCTAGGGATGTTGTTACTAGGGTCAAGTGATGCAAGGGGATTGTTACTATGGCCCTGCTTCTAGGGATGTTGTAACTAGGGTCAAGTGATGCCAGGGGATTGTTACCATGACCCTGTTTCTAGGGATGATGTCACTAGGGTCAAGTGATGCAATGGGATTGTTACCATGTCCCTGTTTCTAGGGGTGTTGCTATTAGGGTCAAGTGATGAAAGGGGATTGTTACCATGGCCCTGTTTCTAGGGGTTTTGTTACTAGGGTAAAGTGATGCAAGGGGATTGTTACCATGGCCCTGTTTCTAGGGGTGTTGCTTCTAGGGTCAAGTGATGCAAGGGAATTGTTACCATGGCCCTACTTCTATGGGTTTTATTATAGGGTCCCATTGCTAAGGGCTTTGATTGAAGTTTCATCTTAATTCTGTCGTCAGATAATTATCTTTGTTGCCTTCCAAGTGTTCACATGATAAATATAAATAAATTGTATTTTGGATGTATATATTTCTCATATAATTCTTGATGTTCACATGACAGATCAAAGGTCTGATCACCTGTATTACTTTATAAATAACAATAGAAACAATTCAGGATTCTGACACTGTCTTTAACTGAAGATATGACAGAGAATATATGACAGAGAGCCAGTTCTGTATGAAAACAGGTACTGTGACATTTACCTTCTGAAGTGATGACGGCTCTGTCAACCCCTCCATCCTCTTCTTTGATGTACTTGAGGAAATCCCCAACTGTATTGGAGACCGGCTTGAGCGTAAATTCACAGGTCTCTTTTCGAGACGGTAAAGGCACAGTAAATACAGGTAATCCATCACGGTATATCACATTCGCTTCTGAAACAGAAAATATGCAATCAAATACAAAGACTGATCAAATATAATTTCATTCTTTACCACGACTTTTGCCAATGTTTTGTTGATGCTCTTTTCAAGGTAAATTCAATTTTAAAGCTTGGACAAGTCATGAGTTATGAAGTTTAGTTGTTTTGTGAAGCAGTGCATAGTGCTGTCAATGTGTTTTACTTTACAAACAGCCTACTGAGCATTTCTCACTTAATCCTGTACCAGATAAGCATGGTACAACATGGTTTTGCTGTGTTATTTTCATGTTTAGGTGTGAAAATGTAATTTTACTAAATGTTCAATTTTCTGTTCACACATTATATTACACCAAGTCTCCATAGTATTACTTAGAAGTGTTTGATGATTCACTTTAGTATGTACACTTCTATACAGATACAATCTGATTAAAATCATCTGTTTCATGGCTCTGCCTGAACATCTGAATGTGCCACGGTCAGGGTCACGTTCAAGTGACCTTTGGATGAACCAATTAGAGGAGCGCTGGCAAAAGTTTGCCAGCGAATCGAAATATTATGGTTGATAGATAAATAGCAAGGGGTATCGAACAGATTAGTTTTCCAAAACAAATATGGCGGCGGGAACTGACGTTTCCACGACACCAAGGAAAACGTACCCATTGGGTAATAATTGCGTAGGCAACACCGCCATACAGTCTTTCTTCTCTAATAAAGCTTCGAATATCTTTTTCTGTTCGGGTTTCAGACGATCAATCTCAAATAACTTCAGAACTTTCGCATCGTTCTCATCATTGTCCGCCATATTTGTTACAACTCCAAGTGCCCTTTTGAAAGAGGGTTTCTGATTGGTCAAAATTTAATGAGTATTTATAAATATGAAGGTCAACTGAACGTGACCCTGACCGCGGCACACTCAGATGTTCAGGTGTAATACGAAGTTAACGAAGCCATGTAACATATGATTTTAATCAGATTGCTACAGATACTACTGTACAAATAAATGGTAAATATAGTTAAACATGAAGTAACCAGATCAAAATAGACCAATTGGTTTAGAATATACAAATAGGATCTCAAACAACTTTGGTATTCACAGAGCAATCGAAGGTTTTCAAAAACAACTTCTAGTCCTTAGTTAGTCTTTATAAGTCATTCTAAAACTCTTGAAGGGATTTTGCCCATAAAATATACCCTATACCCTCAGAATTTAAGCCAAGTTTCTGAACTTAATGAGAAAAAATTCTCAATTCAAAACAAAAAATTGATTGAAGAATGAGCAGTAAAATAAAAGAAGAGATGAGATATTTTTTATTATTTTGTTTTTTATTCAATTTTTCCCAGTGTTCCCATTCATTGTATGGGATTTCCTTGTTTAAACAGACCCTGGATCCGAAATAAAAATGTCTTCTGACATGACAAATAAACAAAGAAATATTTCCTGAAATAACTTCTACTGAAAACATATGTAATCTATGTGTAATGCTTCAGTTCTTCTGTCACTGTGAAGTTTATAAAAATCAAACTAGACGTACAAAGATTAAACTCCCACGCCCATTCTTTCAAGGACATATCAAATTTTCTGAATGTGATAAACAGCTATGAAATAATCTGCACTGAATACAAATAAGACATCCTGTTAAATATTATGCACAAACCTAAGTACAGTACAGACAGGTAGAACTTGTTAAGAAAGGCAGTGAAACTGAGGACACTGCTAGTTACAAATGTGCATTTTATTATACATATCAACACAGGGACAATGCTTATCTGCGGGGGTCAAGATTACCTAGCAGTCCCCATGGTACACTCTTCAACCTTTGTCACATTGAATAATAATTTGTCTTTTTGTCAACGAAAAGGGATTAGTTAGATTATCTGTTGAAGGAAGAATCATAATGCTAAGGTTAAATTTACCTTACAATTTAAATAAAAGAACAGGCACTTGTGGTACGTTATAGACCTGTAACAGCTTTGGAGAGATAATATCTAAAACAAATTCAGCTGACAGCTCATTGTGGAGTGTGACTGATTTCTAACAAAGTCTTCAATACGTTTCCTTGCAATCAAAAGAAATGTTTCACTGAAACTTAGTATCAATGATAATGTCTTTTAGCATGTTTAGAAGAATTTCTACAGACACGTTTTAGATTTGAGATCCATAAGTCAATATTGTAGGCTGGCAGTAGGGACCGACTTATTGGCCACGCGTGACAGAAAGTGACCTTCTATAATTCAACAGTGATTTATAAAAACATCATGGTGGCTCCAATAAACAGCATGCAGGCATTGCCTTGATTTTAACAAATAACATTAAACTGGAGGGAAATACCTGCATGCATGTGTCTGGGCATGTTTGCTCCCTGGCATCAGCCAGACCTCGTTGGTTCAGGGATACATGCCAGGTCTGCTTACTGACACTGGTACAAATTTACCCCAAATCATATAACATGTCTTTATCAATCTGTATTCCCTTATACAAGAGCAAACAACATTTTGATAAAAGAAAAGCTGCCTTAAATATATCCAAGCATACTTGTCAATCCTTTTGTAATTTACTAAGTACTTTTAATGTATCCAAGTAAAATTGGTTCACAATTTCGCATAATGATCAAAATTTGATGCAACTTCACTATTCACACTATCCTGACTGACTAACCTATGTAATCATGTAAAGAATATAGTATCTTATATCACATTTCAATGAACTTATCAAGTTATGACTGGGCAATCAAACAGACTGAACATACGAAAGGCAGATTCAATGGGTCTACAATTCTCACTTAGTTTTACAAAAAGATAACTTTGACATGCCAATGATATAAAAGACCAGGACATATTTTGAAAACCTTCAAACCAACGATCATTATTTAATTCTGCTGATCTAAAACCACTATTGAACATCAATCAAGGGAGATAATCACCTACTTTCCACCATATAGCCGAGAATACCATTAACTTCATGATTCTTCACAATTCCATACCCTTTCAGATCATTATCTCCGACACAAAACACTATTGGTATTTCATTATGATATCTGAACACAACCACATGAACATGCACCTCTGCCACTTCACTCTTTATATATATTCTCACTCTCAGAACCAGACAGTCTTTAACCCCAACGTCAATCAGATTTGGAATCAAACCTCTAACTGAACAAAAAGAACACTCTTGACCTGTCCAGATCCTTTCAGGATCACAACACAGTAGTTGTTACATCATGATACCAAGGAACAGGAAACATCCCCTTCCGGATCATTTTACAGTTCCCCTCACAGAAATAGGACCAGTCATCAATCAGGGGGGAATTACTAGTCACATATCAATCACACTGAAATGTTAACCCATAGTTATCACATCCTTCCATACAATTTACTGATTGTCAATCAGTCCAGCACTGATTGTCCTCCTGACAATTGCAAGCTGGTCAATATTGGCAGTGTACATTCTGGAGAAGCTAGAATCTAGAGATTTCTGAGAGTTAAACAGGGCCAGGGTGGTAGGGTGTGAGGCGGGACAGGAGAACAAAACCACGAAGGAGGACAATCACACGCTCAGTGGTCCCCCAGTGTTTTAATGAGTTTATGTTGCTAACAAGCCAGTCTGTCTAAGTAAGCTTCATCAACCTGTCCTTATTTGATTCTCTAATCCTCAGCCGTTCATGATCAAACAAACATTTTCCCAATTAAGCCTCCGTTGCCCAAAGTCAGGTTCTCGTGATCAGGGATGGTCTTCATTCTTTAGTCTTCAGAAACCAATATTTCATGATAAACACTGGCTTTGAAAGTTAATGCCACATTTCAGCTTTAGGACAAAATGCTCGAGGATTATATGAAAATTCAAAAAGAAAAAAACACACCAGAAAAATAAGATAAAGACGGAGAAGATATTTTTACAAACAACAAAAATTTCAAAAAGAAAGGAATTCCTTCCAGCACCATATTAACAACACTGAACATCAGTATTGCATGCAAAGAAGCTGATATATATTCAGGTAGCACCAACATATATACCGGTGAGGCAGGGGAGCCTATGATACTATCTACATTTTAATCACGAGATGAAAGGTATTTCTAAATCATTTCCACTCCATTAAGATATGAACACTTATGAAATTCACCTTAAATTCATATCATACACATTATACCTTATGGGATCTTGTATCTGGTCTTCTGTGTACAGTCACTGAACACATCTAGTAAGAATCCTAAGTCATCTCAAATTTGTTCTATTTTTATCATGTCGTTTGACTTTTTTCTCTGAATGTGTTCCTTTATACTCCTATCAAACCTATATTCGGTGTTACCTAAACCATTAAACCAATAACGGTAGTGTAAACACCAAGTGATCCAATGTGTGACAGGCTACAACTGGTTGTAGTGTAATTCCTCTCTCAACGGTAAAATCAACATTGAAGAAAAAATACAAAATGAAGAGAACATTTTCCATTTAACATTTTCTAAAAATGAGCTTCTGTCTGTATCTGCTCTTTCCTTTGACAGTGTATCCCTAGGTATCTCGAGTAGGCCCACAGTCTGAGTATTGTCACTAAGAGAGTTGTCATGCAACAATATCCAAGTTATGACATTTCAGTGTTTAGGTAGCCACGGAGTAGCCAGCCATACCAGCTGTGGACATCACCATCATAATGACCCCAGCTGCTGTAAGGGTGTAAAACCCCAATCAATCATAAAAATTATTCTAAAATGCTCTGTAGTACAGGAGTTTAATATATAATCAAACAGGCTCAAACTAGGTAGCTCAACGTATAATCGAATTGGCTCTAACAGTGTAGCTCACTGTATAATCGAATTGGCTCTAACAGTGTAGCTCACTGTATAATCAAATTGGCTCTAACAGTGTAGCTCACTGTATAATCAAATAGGCTCTAAAATTGTAGCTCACTATAAAATCAAATAAGCTCTAACAGTGTAGCTCACTATATGATCAAATCGGCACTCTCACTAGATATGTAGAACAACAGCTGAACAAACTTCTTGTTTGAATCTTCAAGTGACCTTTGTACAGGTATTAAGCTTTGTAGAATTTAGTTTTTACTGACACTCAAGTCTAAATCAAATATTTTCATAAACTTTGAGATAGGGGCTTCAGTTCAAGGTATAATAATGCTTGTATAATAGGAAACTATCTACTGCAGCAGACTTTTATAGTTTGAAATCATACTTGTGCATGTATGTAACACTCACAAGTAACATTTACTGGAATAGAAGTATACTGAGGCTTGGATATGACCTATACATCAATATCATGTGCTTTAGTTACAGACTTTGTGGAGCTTGGCTGCCAGAAATGAGCTTCTACCCCTAGCCTTCACCAGACATTTACCAATTCCTGTTTCACCCAATAAAACGATGGAGTCTCACAAACTTCTTCATCTGTTTTAGCACACGACCTAATTCACTTCCAACATGCATGTTTCACATCTTATAATCTGATCAGAGTTTAAGGAATGCAAAACAACGTAACATGTGTATAAAAGGAAGACACCTCTTGCCTGGTACGTCTATTTCGATAGCCGTAGTTTGATTACCTTCATTCGTGCATATGAGTTGTAAGGAGTTCACTTCACACAATTTTACGATAACACCATGTGACACTAGGGAATAATAACATTGCTTCCTATAGGAACGATCATGCAATATTTCACAATCATATTTGTAAAAAAAATATCTTTTCAGTTCCAATGGAGTTTGAAACAGCTGTGTTTATTGAACAGCATTGTGCGGTCATAAATAAAACCAATACTATCATATTACACAGACAGAATATTTTCAACATAAATCAACAAAAGCTATAATCTATGTTAAACAGTGAAGTGCATTCATATACAGTTAGATAGACATTCAACATGCCAATCAAAAGACAGAAAATGATAAATTATCTGCATGAGCAGCTGATCAATCATGGAACTTTTCAAAACCTACCTAATATCATATTTAAAGTACAAAGCTTCATTTGCCTCTTACATCTGTACTCTTCAATAAGAAAACATTTTAGATAGTTTATCTACAATGTGAACGACAGAAAAATATTCAACACATATTGAATCCATGTTTTTTGCTGTCTTTACCTTTTGTTTTAGTGTCCCTGTGACTGATCTATTTTGAGCATCAGCATTGAAATACATTGTTGAACAAATGTCTAACTTACTCATCTGTTCTAAGTGTCAATATTGTAGCACGTTGTAGAGGTGTCCACAAAATAATCTATTTTGAGTGGAAGCATTGTGTTACATGTGTCTCAGCGACTCTTTTTTGAGTGTATACATTGTAGCTTACATATAGTACATTGTTGTACATATGTTCAAGTAACCTTAATTTGTGTGAACACATTGTAATACAATTGTATACATGTGTCTCAGCGGCCCATATTTTGAGTGTAAAATGTGTAGCACATTGTTGTATATGTGTCCTAGTGACTCTATTTTGAGTGTATACATTGTAATACATTGTTGTTCATATGTCCCAGTGACTCTATTTTGCGTGTAAGCATTGTTGTGTATGACTCTATTTTGAGTGTAAGCATTGTTGTATATGACTCTATTTTGAGTGTATGCATTGTTGTGTATGACTCTATTTTGAGTGTAAGCATTATTGTGTATGACTCTATTTTGAGTATAAGTATTGTTGTATATGACTCTATTTTGAGTGTAAGCATTGTTGTGTATCCCTCTATTTTGAGTGTAAGCATTATTGTGTATGACTCTATTTTGAGTGTATGCATTGTTGTGTATGACTCTATTTTGAGTGTAAACATTGTTTTGTATGACTCTGTTTTGAGTGTAAGCATTGTTGTATATGACTCTATTTTGAGTGTAAGCATTGTTGTGTATCACTCTATTTTGAGTGTAAGCATTGTTGTGTATGACTCTATTTTGAGTGTAAGCATTGTTTTGTATGACTCTGTTTTGAATGTAAACATTGTTATGTATGACTCTATTTTGAGTGTAAGCATTGTTTTGTATGACTCTGTTTTGAATGTAAACATTGTTATGTATGACTCTGTTTTTAATGTAAGCATTGTTGTGTATGACTCTATTTTGAGTGTAAGCATTGTTGTGTATGACTCTATTTTGAGTGTAAGCATTGTTGTATATGACTCTATTTTGAGTGTAAGCATTGTTGTGTATGACTCTATTTTGAGTGTAAGCATTGTTGTGTATGACTCTATTTTGAGTGTAAGCATTGTTGTGTATGACTCTATTTTGAGTGTAAGCATTGTTGTGTATGACTCTATTTTGAGTGTAAGCATTGTTGTGTATGACTCTATTTTGAGTGTAAGCATTGTTGTGTATGACTCTATTTTGAGTGTAAGCATTGTTGTGTATGACTCTATTTTGAGTGTAAGCATTGTTGTGTATGACTCTATTTTGAGTGTAAGCATTGTTGTGTATGACTCTATTTTGAGTGTAAGCATTGTTTTGTATGACTCTGTTTTGAATGTAAACATTGTTGTATATGACTCTATTTTGAGTGTAAGCATTGTTGTATATGACTCTATTTTGAGTGTAAGCATTGTTGTGTATGACTCTATTTTGAGTGTAAGCATTGTTGTGTATGACTCTATTTTGAGTGTAAGCATTGTTGTGTATGACTCTATTTTGAGTGTAAGCATTGTTGTGTATGACTCTATTTTGAGTGTAAGCATTGTTGTGTATGACTCTATTTTGAGTGTAAGCATTGTTGTGTATGACTCTATTTTGAGTGTAAGCATTGTTGTGTATGACTCTATTTTGAGTGTAAGCATTGTTGTGTATGACTCTATTTTGAGTGTAAGCATTGTTGTGTATGACTCTATTTTGAGTGTAAGCATTGTTGTGTATGACTCTATTTTGAGTGTAAGCATTGTTGTGTATGACTCTATTTTGAGTGTAAGCATTGTTGTGTATGACTCTATTTTGAGTGTAAGCATTGTTTTGTATGACTCTGTTTTGAATGTAAACATTGTTGTGTATGACTCTGTTTTTAATGTAAGCTTTGTTATGTATGACTCTATTTTGAGTGTAAGCATTGTTATATGTTTGTACCTTGATGGTGTCATATAAATAGTAAAAGAAAACATGTTGCGGAAATCTTAAGTAGAAAATTCAATATTGAAACTTCACGAAAACAAATTTTGAAGCAACACTAGGATAAATTCGGAATTCAGTTTAAATCTCAGACCTCCAAATCTTTTGGAAGGACTCCTCAAGCATAATGATGCATTGATGCATTAATTCAGCTAGCTAAGTTGTTTATGCCCAAGAAAAAATAGATCCAAGAACACGAATTCCACATAAATATCTAAAGAAAGGTTAAGGCATCTATTTTTGTTGTAATCCTCCAAAATTGAAGTTACCATCTTGAATCTAAAGGGTGTTCACTATATATTATATACAGATAGATTCAGACAGCAATATACACACTCTGTGTTAATGATTGGGTTACCCCGAGATGACAGCTAAGCATAGCTCACACATTTCATCTACCATATGGTGTTAGTTTTGGCACTAATACCACTGTGATTACTACCTCAGATAAGCTGCACTATAATCACCTCTGGCTGTGGGTGTGATATAATGATGATGATGAACAGACATAAATACTGGGATGCTCTCGATCCAGTTTCCACAATGATGGCTAGAGTTTTAACTGGACATAAATCTGGACATCTTTACTGTGACTCTACACAAGTGGTTAACTAATGGTAGCTTCCCTATCAGACCTTCCCCTAAACCATGCATAATAAGGATGTGTTAGCTGTTTATAGGGTTTCCTGGGTAAGGAGAAGGTCAGGCGAATTGTCACTCCCAGTATATATAGAGGATCTGACACGAGTGTTCATGTAATATTGAATTTATTGAACGAGTTTATTAATTTCATATGAAATTAATAAACGAGTTTAATAAATTCAATATTACATGAACACAAGTGTTAGATTCTATTTATTATATAATTAGAGAAACACTCTTTTTTTTGACACGACTCCTCTACATGTATATAAACTGTACAGATGGCTGACGAAAGGATGCATTACATGCATTTTGTTTGGAGCTCGCTGCGCCATAAAAAATAGTTTCAGAAACTTCTTCTCGAGAACCTTTTCGCTGAACAAACAATCATTTAGGTTTTCTTCATCAACCAATGTTTTAATAATTATCAAAACAGCATCAAAAATCATTTTTTATACGTAAACCATTCAACGAATTGGCGTTTACGAAAATAGCAATGACGTCACATATTTGGCATAACAGCGTGTGCACTGTCAAGGTAAAGGTCATGAAGAGGGTTGTTGGTGAATGTGAACCTCGATGTTTCTGCCTGTCACTGAGCTAAAAAATATACTGTGGAATCGAATCCGCCATGAAACTGGAACACTTATGAAGTTGACCGGCTACACGTGTTCGCCATTGATTGTGTGTATGTCGGAGAAGTTCAAGTGGAATTTGAACATGCAGGTGTTGAATTTGTGTGAAGCTAACACTCATGTTTATATAAGATATTGTACTTATTAAACTTGTTTGTTAATTTTATTCTCCCAGTGCCCCTGCCTCTGCTATCAATGTAAACAGTAATTCGGTCAGCCATTTTGTTTACAAACGTAGACGTTATGTTGCGTAGGAATATGACCTGTTTCCCACGGTGACAAGACTCATTTGCATGTTTATTGTACGTGTGCTATATCGTTTTTATTGAACGGCAATACTGCACGGAAATAGCCTGTATTATATAATAAAAAGGTATACGTACCGCTTCCAGACAATAACACAGATGAGCTATGGAAACTACATGGACACAGTAGGGCTGGGATCTGTAAATACACAAAGCATGAAATATTTAGGTACATTATCAAATCAAATATATGCACAGATATACATGTGTCAGTCATATACACACAGGAAAAGGGTGTCTTTGGCAAAGTAATGATTTCCATCTCGGGTAGTTATCAGAAAGTCTTGCTGCCTAATGCAGACTTCCTTTGGGAATAGGTAACATGCTATCCTTGGAAGTGTATGTTATAAACTGGCTATTTTAACTACTTTTCCTAGAATGAACCTGTCATGATATGCAAACTACAACAAAATGTACACGAGACATGTAATGCAGTAATGGTCCATTTTATAAGCCAATAGCAGATTCAGACTCTAGTACAGCTGGAAACTCTACCAGTCTGTGCCTTAAAAAAGGACTTACCTAATTTTACTGCAAATGTTCTTACATTTAAAACTCTTTGATCTGGAACCCCCTGTACTACTTCCAATTACCAATCAAACAAAACGATTTTAGAATTGTTGTGGTCATTTTCGCTGTGTACCAACACTGGTAATGACATTCACCTTTATTTTGTTTAAAGACATTCATCTATGATAGATTAATGATGGCATGCAAATTTAGTTTAATGACATTAAATTATATATAGTTAAATTACATTCCACTATATATGGTTTGTTGACATTCCCTATACAATGTATACTTCTTATTGACATTCACCTATAAGATTTAATGACATTCTCCTTTATATGGTTTAATGACATTCACCTATACAATTTAATGACATTCTCCTTTATATGGTTTAATGACATTCACCTATACAATTTAATGACATTCTCCTTTATATGGTTTAATGACATTCACCTATACAATTTAATGACATTCTCCTTTATATGGTTTAATGACATTCACCTATAAGATTTAATGACATTTTCCTTTATATGGTTTAATGACATTCATCTATAAGATTTAATGGCATTCTCCTTTGTATGGTTTAATGACATTTTCCTTTCAATGGTTTAATGACATTCACCTAAGAGATTTAATGACATTCTCCTTTATATGGTTTAATGACATTCTCCTTTATATGGTTTAATGACATTTTCTTTATGGTGTACCTACATTCCACTATACAAACTGTACATGGTTTTACACCTTTTAAACCCACATGTTTTCACCTGTATGACAAAACATTGATTTCTTCATTCCTTTGCTGATGCTGAGAGACGTAATACTAAACCATGCTCCTAATATCCACATGGACGACCAAGCTGAATAAAGAATAACAAGAAAAACTTTTTTTATTTGTCTTGGTATGCGAGGTGTTAATGGCAATTGATATGACCACAAGTGCACTTACATGCTGCCTGTTATCAGCTCAACAAATACACTGATCTTGTTACCAAGGTCCTTATCACAAATCCTGACATTTTCATCAAAGATATTGACATTCTTTGATCCTAGAGTTATGTAGGTCTAGGAGTAGTTATTTTTGCAAACAGTAGTAGTTAATGCAAACATCTTTAAATTCTTTTTAAAATGTGAAATATATGGATTTCCAAACATGCCTTAATGTAAGGATTGGCTCAAATTTTCAAGAATATTTTTATTACACAAAAAAGCCATTCTATGGCTTTAAAGATTTGCGTAATTTGTGAAATCTTGAGCAGTGTGTAAAAGCCTTGGAATATATTTTTTTCTGTATTATAGAAGTTACAAGAAACCTGCCACTTAACTTGCTGTTGATCTCCTTCATGGCAGTGACCAGAGTTAGATGTATCTATACAAGGAGTCTTAAGTATCCTAATAAATAGATTTGTGGCATTTGAGATTTCTATGGGTCAGACAAAAGATTGGTCCTTGTTAAGACCCAATATAAAAATAAATTTCATTAAGTTATTACTTAAACAAATCTGAATTTATAAATTATAATTGAAAATAGAAAGATGTAGACCAGAAAACAATCCTAGTTTACATCAAATGCGGGCCAACTCTCCTCACTTCTAAAAGCCGTTTCATTCATAGGCAAGACTGATGTACAAAGTTAGGATTATCAGAGAACAGTGTGGCAGCCATATTGCCAGTGTCTGATATCATGCTATCTTTCAGTACGTTGTTATTATTGCAAAAGAAAGTCTGATCTGGCTTTTTGCTTCAAGGATCCCTGTCCCACTGCCAAAAATGGAAATAAGTATTGGAAACTGGTTTTTTCTGACAATACTAAAACTTTGATAAATCATTTCCCTAAAGAAAAACATACCTTGCGAGATTTTTATGAGAAGTATTTAAGATGAAATAAACAAAGTGTTATCAACAACAGTGTTTGGAGCATAAAAATTCAGCAGGGCTAGATTTAGATTCGAACCCTGGACTTCAGATTGTTATAGTATCATTCCAAGCGATTGAGCTACCTGGTCAAGGAAAGTGTCTGGGCCAAACTGTGCTACAGTTATAGTTACATCCAAGTGGAAGTTAAGGGGAAGTTACTCTAAAGGGAAGAAGCCACAGTACAGTGTGACAGGGACCCTAAAGAACATTCAGAAGTGCTCTTTATTCTCAATTCCATTAAATTAAAGAAATTCATTGCCTAAAGTTCCTTGGGATATTTTTATGTGGCAATTAGCATGTTCACATAGAACAAGTTGAATGAAGTATCTATGAAAACAAATTGAATAGCCACAGTAATTAGTAGAACTGTCTCTAATTCAAGCAATGGTCTCAGATCTGTTTACAGTGAAAATCCTATATGTGTGCACCAAAGCCTGATGTGAAGTTACCACTGGCCCAGATAAAGAATAGCCTTCTCTATGCGATAGTCCAGGGAATCCTAGGCAAAGGCAATAACATGGAGCAATAAAACTAAAAATCATATTAATTTTCATGAAAAATTCAAACTCTCCATTATGATTTCTACAACAGCGCCTAGTGCAGACTGTCAGTTAGCACTGCAGACTGACAGACATGCCATTATCTGCTGGAGCAGGCAGGCGATCCAAATACAACATTACTCTCGGTAGAAAGATACACTTACACATAGAATAGATATCTGGTGATGTATGAACTATGAAGTACTGTATATTTACCTACTCTATACTTGACTGTCAATTGCAATAATATAGTTAAAGGCAGTAGCTTTTATCTTCAGTTATAAGATAACCACAAAAACCTTGAACAGCCCCCATACTAATATAATGGCTTGTATTGGCAGTAATTTCATTTCTATGTTTACAGTACTTGTTTTACATATCACAATTTAGTTTTATTTGAAAATGTGAAGTTCATAGCCTTAGAATAAACTTTAAATACAATTACATGAAACTCAGATATTGGCAAAGGAAAAATTGAACATGTAATCAATTGAGATCGATGGGGGCCTCATACTAAGGGCAACAACTCTATTAATATCAATGGCAACAACATGCTGGCAACACATTTTGTATGCTATTTGGTAAGGTGTGTATGAACTTTCTTTAGAATTGATGCCATGTTTTAGGAGTAGTTTTCGAAAAATTATCTCGGCTTATTACCACATGGGCCATAACTCTAGTGGATATATGCTTAAACAACACACAAGTTCTAATTTACATGCAAATGTTTAATGTTATGTGCAATCGAAATAGAGATAGCATGTACTGTAGGATTAGTCTAGCAAAATAGGAAGTATGTGTAAAATTCTCCATTCAATCAAATCCCACACATATGAAGTTGGCTTAATATTTGAAATCCAGATAGAATTACATTTTAAATTGCATTACAAACACATCTGTGGTAACAAATAGTTCTAAATACATCATGTTTCCAATGTCCAAATTGGAGGGGTGTAATAGTAAAAGTACTTCCATGTTTTATACATATTCCAGAGAGAGCTTTCAAGTACAACTGTGCTGACAGACATAATAAATTATATTTACAAAAGGGGTTTGAACAATGGTAGAAGATACAAATAAATTGTATTTCCAGAATGGATTTATTTCCAGAAGTGTTTTACAAGAAGAACTTTGATAACAAACTAAAAAGATATTATTTCGAAGAACACAGTGGTACGAGATAGAAAAACGTATACTATTTCCAAAGTTGTAAGATCCAAACTTCTTATTGTGTGTGAGTCATATCCAGCAATTACCCCATCAGTAGTTATCACATCAGATTATTACAGACTAAATGGAATCTATCTGTCATACTTATAAAACAACATCATCAAACAGAATATTCTATAAATCTTCCATAATTTTCTAGGTGACTGTCTTTTGATAGTCAGTGGTCAATCCACTGTCTAATGAAAGGTTGTACTGACTATACTACAACTACAGCGTTCTCTATGGAGGATTCTAGTTAAAAAGTCCTTGTGACTAGACTGTGACTATGTAACATCAGTCTATATGATGTAGTTCTAGTTAAAGGTCCTGATGACTAGACTGTGACTACACCTGTCTATAGGTTCTGGTGACCAGACCGTGACTATGTAACATCAGTCTATATGATGTAGTTCTAGTTAAAGGTCCTGATGACTAGACTGTGACTACACCTGTCTATAGGTTCTGGTGACCAGACCGTGACTATGTAACATCAGTCTATATGATGTAGTTCTAGTTAAAGGTCCTGATGACTAGACTGTGACTACACCTGTCTATAAGTTCTGGTGACCAGACCGTGACTATGTAACATCAGTCTATATGATGTAGTTCTAGTTAAAGGTCCTGATGACTAGACTGTGACTACACCTGTCTATAAGTTCTGGTGACCAGACCGTGACTATGTAACATCAGTCTATATGATGTAGTTCTAGTTAAAGGTCCTGATGACTAGACTGTGACTACACCTGTCTATAAGTTCTGGTGACCAGACCGTGACTATGTAACATCAGTCTATATGATGTAGTTCTAGTTAAAGGTCCTGATGACTAGACTGTGACTACACCTGTCTATAAGTTCTGGTGACCAGACCGTGACTATGTAACATCAGTCTATATGATGTAGTTCTAGTTAAAGGTCCTGATGACTAGACTGTGACTACACCTGTCTATAAGTTCTGGTGACCAGA